AGTGACGAAGACGAAGGAAAGGGAAAGGGAAGAAAGGAGGACGAAGACGACCATGGAGCAGGAAAACATGGAGGAGTGGAAGAGAGCAAAGGGTTTGAGCCAGATGACCTTCCCCACAACAAGAAACGTAGGGCTAGGGAAGAACTGCCCAGAGATTCTTCTTGTCGAAATGAGGATCAGAATGATGGTAGCGAAAACAAGGAGGATACTGGTGAAAGTACTCCTAAACGAACTCGAGTACTACGTAATAGCCTTGGTAGACGGGTGCAGTTTTCTTCTGTTGCTGCTGTTTCTGTTTTTGATCCGAAGGATGGCTTAGCCTCCCCCATGCTGCCTCCTCACGGGGTCCCAGTTCATGGTAGATAGAAGTGTCTTGTGTTTTCAACCGCGCTAAGACTGACGTCTTTTTATTGGTCAGCCGGTTAGCGCGGTCGATGCTAATAATAAATGCACACACACGACACAGATGTCAGGTGTACGACCCCGAATGACTTTTATCACTCCCTTGTCCCCCTCTCTTTATAGATCCATGACAGTGGAATGGTTACCAATACATCAGGTACGGCCTATGAAATGAACCGCCAGCCTAGGGCGAAACATGCACATTCCACAGGCTCTACTGTAACCTGACTCTCTCGGCCTCGCTAACGGCCGCACCCCGAGAGCCCAACGCCGCCCCCGGCTGGCCAAAACGACCGCTCGCCCCGGTGTATACACACACCTTTGGATGGATCTCTCTTGCGCAGTCAACAACCATCTCCTACTGAACCGTCCTGCTGTATATAAGAAGGTCTCTTTCTCTACCGTGGGACCACAAATCTCACACCGTCGCTGATGCATTCTGTAAAGCTTATGAAGACTCTTCCTAACGCACGAATCTCGTCCAAAATGGGCGATCTGTCAACACTCTCTCTACCCTCCACATTGCCAGGGGAATCGCTCTCCTTGTCTAAGAGACCGACACGGTCTCTAGAGGTCTCACAGAACGGATAAGAAACATGTGCATTGCACGGAGTTCCTCTAAGGGACCAATACGGTCTCTAGTGTAAAGGCCTCTCACAGAACGGTAAAAAATATGTGAATGAATGATAATCACTTTCAGTCCGAAAGCCTCAAGACTATATCGATTTGTGCCTAAACGTTGCCTATCCTCCCCCAAATTGAAGCCCCGTCCAATCTACAGCTGGATCGACGAGTCCTTCGACATTGGAATAGCTATGTGCCTACCAATTTTGCGTGCCGACGAGAGGTTCGGGCCCCACCGCTGAAACCTCCCGACGAGGAAGTGGTAGTTCTTCGCATAACGACGGTTTCAAATAATTTTACACGCGCAAGCAAATGATTGCGGAACAAGATCCATTGCAGAGTATCCTGATCTCGACACGTCGTCGTGTGCCCCGCGATAGGCTATAAGCCGCATTTCGAGGGAAACACTATCCATTCTTGTGCATACGCGCGCGCGCGCAGAGAGGAATCGCAGCAGCGATGTGTGCAGGCGTGCTGCTTGTGAATCTCTCTTCCGAACAGTCTTGCATTCTGGATACAACGTGCGGTTACACCAAAACCGGAACCGTGACACTACCATATATCTCCACCTCGCCGCAGGACACGTGTTCATGCCAATTGGCCAGCGGGTGTGCAATGAAGAAGTGGCCGAGCTAGTAACCGTCAACAGTCCCAAGGAGTAGTCTGTCGAAAGCATGAACGAACTTCGGCATGATCCGACGACGACGGGTAAATGTTCATCCGCGTTCATCCGCGATCCGGGGCGATCTTTCATTCCACCGTGCACCACCACCATGGTATCCACCTCACGGCAAGCAAGCCCAAACTACATATGAACGTCTACGTGTGTGGGTGTGTGGTGTATGGTCACTTCGCCAGCGAGCGTGCTCTGAAGATATGCCAGTGTGGTGGCGGTCTCAAACAACATACCCTCAGCAACAACACATGAAAGTGGAGGGGTGGACGGATGCACGGATGGATCCGGCGGGTGCACGTTTCATTCTACAGCAGACCAGCGGCGGATCCTACAGCGGACCGTGGCGCAGGCCGACGTGCATGTTGGCATACCAAGGCACGTATCGCACAACGGGACCGTTTGGCCATGCTGATGCTCGGGCACACCACTTTAGCCTGGCTGCGTGATTGCTGCACACCGTTGTACGGCGTAAGATCGAGCACACCATTCACTGGTACCGCACGGCAGTCGACCTCAATCGGTGGTCCCGCACAGCATCAGCATGCTGGCGAGTTTCGTCGTGTGGGCGCAGAACGAATTGGTGAGGTTTGAGCGATAGGGTATACAGTCAAGGGTGCGCACCGTGGACAACAGAAGACGACCCTGGAATTGTTTGGCTGGCACAAAGTGTTTCAGTCTTACAGCAGTGGCTGTCTCTTATTCTTGCCCAAACTCAAACAAAACACACCCTGGGGGGCATCCAACCCCCCCACCACACCAACAACAACACCACCACAACGCCAACAACAACACCACCAAAAACGGAACCGTCACATTACCATATCCTACATCCACCTCGCCGCAGGACACGTGTTCATGCCAATTGGCCAGCGCGGGTGTGCATTGAAGGCATGGCCGTGCTTGTAACGGTCCCAAGCAGTAGTCTGTAGACTAGTCTATGTCGACAGCATGGTCGACGTTCGGCACGACCCACGATCCATGATCCGGGTAAATGGCCATCCGCGTTCATCCGCGATCCGTGTAACGGTCCCAAGCAAAAAAGAAGTCTGTCCAGTAGTCTTATGTCGACAGCATGGTCGACGTTCGGCACGACCCACGATCCATGATCCGGGTAAATGGCCATCCGCGTTCATCCGCGATCCGGGGCGATCTTTCATTCCACCGTGCACCACCACCGNTGTAACGGTCCCAAGCAAAAAAGAAGTCTGTCCAGTAGTCTTATGTCGACAGCATGGTCGACGTTCGGCACGACCCACGATCCATGATCCGGGTAAATGGCCATCCGCGTTCATCCGCGATCCGTGTAACGGTCCCAAGCAAAAAAGAAGTCTGTCCAGTAGTCTTATGTCGACAGCATGGTCGACGTTCGGCACGACCCACGATCCATGATCCGGGTAAATGGCCATCCGCGTTCATCCGCGATCCGGGGCGATCTTTCATTCCACCGTGCACCACCACCGTGGTATCCACCACCTCACGGCAAGCAAGCCCAAACTACGTGTGTGTGTGTGTGTGTGTGTGTGGTGTGTGTGTGGTCTTGCACTCTGGATACGTGCGAAGTAATGGCATGCGGGTTGTCATAGCTGTTGTTCTCTAATTTCGTAACAACCCAATGCGCGTAGTTTTGCACGCAGCACAAAAAATCCAATGTATGGACTACTTAACTCTTTTTCCTTGCCCTGACCGTCGTCGTACGGATGCAACAAGAGTTATCACACTACTTTTCGTGCGAATCTTCATCGCTTTACTGCTCTCTACATCACCTTGAAAAAAAACCCGAAAATCTCTTGGAGGCCCAGCACGGTTACCCGAGGGACTCTGCGATACTAATCAACGACAACTCCCCCAGACAAGTGTGGTGTTGAAGCACATCACCGTCGTCCACTTACCGACAAGACGACATCGGCGCAAAAATCGTTCTTGGAACAACTCTCGAACACGAACGCTTGCGTGATTCCGAACCGCTGTGCTGCTGCCTTGAAAGCTTCATGTACGTGACAGTTGCCAGACTACAACAGTTACGAAGTTGGACGTGCAATGCCCGTCGTTTCACTCAGCAAACTACTGCAGCACTTATTCGCCGTCGAATGACCGGCAGCGCTACTCATCACCCAGAGAGAAACCAAATCACGTGGCAATCAAGATATGGAGAAGTTCACGGCCGCAAACACGCCTCCGCCTTCCTCGGGGACATCGTCGAAGAGTCCCTTGGGGCGGCGGAACGCTAGGGGAACATCAGTTCCCATCTTGCGGCGCATTTCCTGGTGGACGTACGTCACGAACGAGAACGCCGGGACAGAATGGGGGGCATGGTTGTCTTCACATCAAAAACCGTTCCGGTGTCCGCTCGGTACCTTCTAGTATCCGTAGTGTTGAAAAAAAAAAAAAGGACGTTTGTCTGTAGCTAAACAAGGGGTGTACGTTAGCGTGGTGCTTGAGTCAAAAAGAGAGCTCAAGCGAAACAATCGTGGTAGTATACAAATATCATGCGAAAAGGGATCCAAACAAATCAACCTCCAAACCAAGATATACCGCCCGTTCGGCGAATGCCAGAGAAAATGAGGTAACCTCGTCAGGCAACCGGCAAGAAGAGTCATCTCGGCTCTCTCTCCCTCGTTCTCTGGTTTCTTTCTCTCTCTCTTGCCCACCTGATCGAAGAGAGACTGGTATGTCTCCGCCGCGAGCTTGGACGGTCCCGCGAAGGCCTCGCCCTCTGCTTCCTTCTTGTCCGCCTCACGGAGAAACCCTCGAGCCTAGAAACACGGGTAGGTCAATGTATAACTGCTATGAATTCATTGCCACCGTTTGTCCTGGATCTCTATTCTGTGGATAGAGTATAGAGAATGAATATTCTGAACGGGTTGTTCTTGGAAGACAAGAACAAAAACGCTTGAAAAAAAAATCAGCATCAAAAACGCACTCCTTCAAGAAACGAACAGATCAATCTACATCTACCGGGTCCGGTGGAAGCTCCCGATGAAGTTGTTGAGCCCCTCCTGGCCAACAAGACGCATGCAAACTTCGCGGAAGAATACATAACGCCAAGAGAGGAAGCGTTCTCCTCCCTATTCATTGCGGTTTTTCGCTATTGCGCAATTCTGTTGACATGACGGCGACATGACAGCATGATCGTGACAACAGAGCTGGTGGCCGCTCAAACTTGCACACAACCGCCAGCCACCACTGTTGTGGCGGTCGAAACTCGTTGGGAACACGAGGGTCTATCACGTATTGCAGCCCAGCACCACCACCAGCGGGGAGCTGAGTTCGGCCTTTCCCACGAGCACAACCTCACCAATGACGAGGTAGGCTACTTCCGCTGTCGGTGAGCAACGGAATACAACAACCCGATTACAACAAACGCCTACGCCTAATCGGATCCGAAGCGGTCCCAACACCCTCCTAGACAGTCCCCTCCATCCGCAAGTTCTCCTACCCCCCGTTACGGCGCTCCGCGCTTTATGAGGACCCGGCGTGCTCCGTCCCGGCTTGGTACGGATGCGAGGTCAGTGGTCCAACGACAACGGCATGAGTACCCCAGTTCTCACCAGCGTGGCCACCCCGGGATGGTAGTGATTCTGCAGCGCCGCAAGCTCCCACAAGCTCGTCTTCATGGCCCCGGCCCCCTTGGTATCCTCGCACCCTGGATCGTACTCATCCGCGGCACCCCCCGGGGGGGGGGGGGNAGCCCCGCCGGGAGCGCTGCCATCGGATGAGGGACGAGGGCGGTTCTTGAGGCCGGTGGTGCCGCTGAGCGCCCCCGAGGATGTAAGGAGGCGGTGCTTGGAGTTCGAGACCGCGGGCGCCCTGCTGCTGATGAGCGGCAGGCACTCGGGGTGCCTCCCGATGAGCTTTCGGACGAGGGCGAGCGTGAAGAGGGCCCCCGAAGGCGGCGCCTGGAGCGTGGCTCTGCCGCGGGCAAAAAAAAACGTGGCAACAACCGGAGGGGGGGGGGGGGGNNNNGGGGGGGGGGGGGGGGGTGTTACTCATGTAAACGCATGCCGTGGTCGTTGAAAGTTGATCTTGCGTCCTCTCGAGAGGACAGAGCACGGAGGGGGGGGGGAATGTACTAATATCACATGCCTTAAACCATTGACCTTGCACGGAGGGAGCGGGGGCGATGGTCTCTGGGTCGTGGTGAGCAGAGTCGTGGCGATGAGACAAGGGGGGAGTACTCAGGGTCATATCGCGGCGGTGGTAAAAGAGGGGCATCTTCGAGACTGGCTCCACAAGAAAAGGAGGCCAACACCCACGGCGGGGCTGCAGCAAACGATCGTGGGAAGACACATCAATACTGCCCAAAATGCAGAAGAGGCGTGGCGTTCAAAAACAATTTTGCATAGGCTGTGCTCTGGGACAAACTTTAAAAATATCAAGCGCGTGGCATGGGGGTTAGGTGTGACACAAACGCTTTTCCAGTCGACAGACAGCCGAGGTCTTCCAGGGTCAAGCGAAAGAATGTTGATGACAACACGACTCACCTCCCCTTCCAACAATAGTAATCAGCTCGGGGCTCCGCGAGAGGAAACGTATACCGCCCCCCCAAATACCGGTGAGAACCCGGCGTCCTCCGTCCCGGCTTTGTAGGGATTGCGAGGTCAATGGTCCAACGACTACGGCATCACGACCATGAGTATGAGCACCCCCCCCTCCACAAAAAAAGCTAACGCCTCTTCACCTTGCAAACCTCTTCAGGAAGGCAGCGACGACGTAGGCAGGTACGTGCGAGGAGGTCAGGCAGAGGTCCACCATGCGGAAAAACCTCGCGCGGTACTTGGCGTACATCATGTCGGGGGTCACCAGGCGGTACAGCGAGTCGTAGAAGTCCGGGTACTCCAGGTCGTGCGCCTGTTTCGGGAGATCGTCGGGAGGTTTAGGTGCGTTGGAGCAAAAAGGCGGAATGTGCGGGGAAACATCTGTTGAGTTTCCCAGGGATAGATCAGTTGAGCTTCGCGGGGAAACATCCGTTGAGCATGGCGAGAGAATAGATCCGTTGAGCTTCGCGGGGAAACATCCGTTGACCCTCGCAATCGAGAAGGTATGCATTAGGAACTACACACGAAGGAGATGTCATTGTCATCGGGCACTGGAAAGAGACAACATCTACGGAGACGAGGAGGGTGGGGTGGTGAACCGTTCAGGCCACAAAGGGTGCCAAACTCGGTACCCTGTTGACATTGCAGCCGTGGCTGGAAGAAAGCAGAAACAGATCGGTTCCCCCTTTTCGCTGCTTTGGTTCGATGGCTTCCGGGCAGCTGGCACACACCTGCGTACCAAGCTTCTTGGGTCCAATTTCAACACCCAAACCTATGCTTCCCTTCCCCCCTCGGCTATCGTAACCAGTAAACTCTTGTCAACCCCGCCCCTCCACGACAAGAGACCTCTGTTCAAGGTTTCCGACGGTGCCGGGGGGGTAGAGATGCTAATGCTATTTTAGAAGCCTCCGCTTAGCTTACATTATTGCAAGTCATCGTGGTCTGTGTTAGGAGCAAGGACGGGGGGTGACAAGGGCCTTGGCCGGATGTTTTCAGCGGCAAAGAAATCGGGGCAGACGGAGCAACCCATGTGAGGGGGGCGGGGCCGTCTGAACACTAAGATCTCTCTGTCACGGTGCCGCCTGTAGCACTAGGGAGCCTGCCTCACAAGTACTAACGCCAGCAAAGCAAACACCCCGACTTCAGCCTGAAACAGAGAAGAAACCACAACGGCAACCGCATCAATTACCACCACGCCGGCAATAACACCGTCGTCTGCGCCACCCCAGATCAAACGGCAATCAACGAGGCACACACCTGGTCATGGTAATAGCAGGATTTCTGCATTCCGCCGCACTGAGCCGGACGACTTTTTCATTGGTCAGCCCGTCAAGCCGCACGCCCCTAAGACTGACGTATTTTCATCAGCTAGCGCGGTCAACGCACACAATTAAGACGCACAAACACACACGCCTGATCCCAGATCATATGGTAGCCTTGAGCAGCATTTTCTGCTTTCAACCGCATTGAGGCTGACGCATTTCCATTGGTCAGTGGCGGCCGATGCAAACAACAAACACACCCACCCACCTGCATGAGAAGGAACAGGGCGTCGAGCGCCAGCACCGACCGCACCCCGCCCAGGCCGTACGCCGCCGTCAAGAAGTCCGCCAGCCTCACCGGGGACGGCATGTACGGGATGACGTTGCCGGGTAGGAACAGCAGCACCCTCCTGTACAGGGCCGGCGGGAGGGGCAGTCGAAGGCAGGCGAGCCACGCGTCGCCGAACGCCTGGTTTCGTTTTCGTTTCGGGCAGGCATCCCAGAGGACGGGAGGGTGGGTCGCGGCGGGGACGTACTCATGGTTTGCATGCCTTAGCGATTACACCGTTGATCACGCGTCCTCGAGAGGACGGAGCATTGTTCCCGCAGGACTGATCACCGATTGGCCAACCGTTCCTTCGGGGGGTGGAGGTGCCATGCTTACAAGTGGGCTACATAGGTGTGTCGACGGTTGATGGGAAAAGTACGAGGTTGATCGGACCAAAGTGCCCAACAAGAAACATCGCAAGGTGGCGGTGAGCGTTTAGCAGGGGTTTCGAGCAGGAGTGAACCAGGAGAAACCAAACGTGAAGGGTACGACGAGGGAGGTTAGTGGTTGGGTGGCTTGTGTCTCACGCCGCCCGGGTACCGCCGATGCGGGAACGTTCATGACTGCATTGAACATGGCAACAACATTGGCTAACCTCGACCTGTTGTAGAGGATGCCGCCGCAACTCTACCTGCTACGTGTAGTCGCCCAGAAAGTGCCCCCGAAAAAACAGAACTAGTGGAAGGGGCGGACATTCTCAGGCGAATTGAGAAACAAAGAAAATGCGCGGCAACGTGTACCGCACCAGGCCAAACAGCTAAAACTCTACCTTTTAACGACGGTCGAGCAGGGCTGCTCGAGATACGAGAAGCAAGTCAATCGACGCACCTTCTTGTGGTACCGTAATCGCTCAATCGCGAGCATCCTCATCTTCTTCCCTTCGGCCCCACCCTTCGTACCCTTCCCGTTCCCCGGTGCTTTCCTTTTGCCCTTCCCACTGCTACCCGCTCGCCCCTCCTCCTCCTCCTCCTCCTTCTCCTCTTCGTCATCGCTACTGTCACTGCTGCTGCTGCTGATGGCGTCACCATCAAGCCCAACCGCGGGGTTTCCAAGCTGTCGGGAGGCGGAAGACGAAACCATCGACGGAAGCGAGAGGCGAACCGGCAGCAGAAACGCCGTCAGGTCGGACTGCTCCTCGACCATCCGCACCACCATCAGCACCCGCGCGAGCCGCCCGCTTACCTCCGCGAGATCCATCTTTTGCCCCCCGCCCTCCTCCTCCGCAGAGGCCTCAACGATCTTTCCTTTCTCCTCTGGCTGGTCGCCGGTCTTCTTCCGTTTCTTCCTCTTCTGCTTGGAGGGAGTAGCAACAAGAGCCGAAGAATCCACCGCCGATGCACCGGCTGCTGTCTCGCCATCATCACTTCCCTTACCGGCACCAGCCGCTGTCTCGCAACCACCACCGGCACCACCCCGGGCGTCCGTAAACGCCGCCGCAGTGCCTCGGAAACCCCTCAGCGGGGAGTTCTCAGGGAGCACGAATCGGGAGCGGGAAGGTGACGACGATGGGGTAGGTGATGCTCTTTGCTCTTGGAGCTTGTTATCGTCGGCGAGAGCTTGCCTGGCGATCGACGTGACGCTGGCTAGTAGGAAGTACCTGAATAATCACCACTCCGCGTGACCGGGGGGGGGGGGCAACAAGACCGACATGTTCATCGACGTCGGAGAAACGGCAATGGCCACAGCAAAATAACGAAGATGGTGCTGGTGGTGGCGATGATGGTTATGCCGGTGTTGCATACGTCTAGCAGTTGGTGTGCCTCGAAGAACGTGCGACCCAAGAGATAGTCCGTCTGAACGCGTTCAAGTCTCCGAAGCAGTCGCGATATTAGGGTCACGACCTAGAGATAGTTATCGCTGAGTGATTCGGTTATCTTAATGCACTTGGCGATATCGCATGAACGGAGGAGCACTACCGCGGTTTGTTGCATCATGTGATGTACAAGGGGTAGTACGTTGCTTTGCCGAGTTTCACGCGAAAACCTTCCTCGCATAAATACATCTCGAGCGAATAGCGGGTTTGGGCAGGGCAACCACCGAAAACGGGCGATCAACACTCCCGGCTTCGTCGTGCGATGCTGCAACAGCTCATTGGAGATTCATCCTCATCTCTAGTGGTGGTGGATACTGCGTGTGGCCCGAGGTTCTGAGAAAAGCAGCAAACCATTTTTGAGGTTCCTTGGTCTGTTGCTCTCTTGGACTTTCATCTTCCTTGTTCGGGGTTGGTTGTCGCGACTGCGAAACAGTTGGCTAGCCGGACGTGGTAATGCCGCAAGCAGATTTTTTCAACAGCAACAGCGCTGCCACCACAACAGCAAGAAAGGAGTCACCCACGAGCTAGGTTACAGAATAGGAAAGGCCAAGACAACGGCCGGAGCGGGCGTAGACGAAGTGGCAGGGGGAGGGAGTGACCCAACCTGACAATCGTCTGCAGTCGTGCCTTCGATTCCAAAGGAGGTGGATACATGAATAGCGGTTGGAGAGGAACTAGACACAACAATCCCTTCACCTGATGTCGTCGTACACGTTCACGAAGTCCTCGCCAAGCGACTTCAGCAGCTTCGGCTCCATGGAGCAGGGGCCCAGCACAATCGTACGCATCAACTCTGCGAAAAGCCCGCCCCAGATTGTCCCCGCCCCCGGGAACGCTAGTCCACCATCCCCTCCCACCAACCCGCCGCCTCCTCTGCCCGCGCGCGACAGCTTCGCAGCCGAGACGCACAGAATGGGCTCGATCTCCACGAACTGCATAAGAGTGCGCAATGCCGGGCCCTGGCAAGGGGGGTAGGTAGGTGGATGGGGTAGGTGCATGAGGTATATAAATTGTGCAGGTAGTCGATATTAATCTTCACATGTAAAAGAGTATTGGGGAGGGCGGGGGTGCGGGTGACGAGAGAAAACAGAGTGTAAGACTGGTGCGTCGGAACAAGAGAGAGGGAGCGGGGACAGGGAATGAAGAGCACCCTTCGGGGAAAAGCCGCACCGATACAACGGTCCGAGATAAAGTTTGAGTGCTCCGAATCGCAGGGTTTTCAGCCTGGGGGAGGCGCGCACCTGAGATAGATCTCCACCTTGAAGCTATGCAGGACAACGCAAATGCCAATTGCTAGACTCGGTCGACAAACCTTGCCAATAGAGGGGTCGACGAACTGATTCACGAGTTAGTCATAGTCACTGGAATACGACCTAGACAAGGACGCAAACACAAGGTGTGATCTAACCCCCATCTCCCGTTGGCAAGATATGTACGTATGCATACAAGTAGTGCAAAATCCGGGTTTCAACAAGAGCAGCGCATGTTGCCGCTGCAACAGGATTCCTTCCGAACATGACATAACCTGTCGGTGGAAGTCGTCGAACTCCGCTATCCACCCCAAAAGCACCCGCAAGAAGTCCAAGTACCGCGCCTCCAGCCACGCCTGGTAGACCCCGGCGGCGGCCTTGTCTTGGCCCCCCTCAACGCCCGCAACAACGCTCCTCGCGGAATTCCCACCACCAGCGTCATCGTCGGAACGAGCACGCTTCTTTTTCTTCTTCTTGTTCTTGCCAGCCTTGCTGCTGCCCCCTACGACGGTGTCGGGATCGCCTCTCCGGGAGGAAGGGCGAGGAAGCTGCGGGACAATACAGTTGGGGCCCCCGCAGAAAAAAAAAATAAGAATTTCGTCGTATGAAACAGCGGCAGGTTCAAAAGTTGTCACAAAAACTTAGGCGTAAGAAAAACATGTCAGCGGATGATCCCACACCATGTTAACAACCTGTGCTCAACAGTGGCGACGAGTTTGGAAACTGAGTCTCGACCCAATCTTGGCGTTTCTTATTTCCCACCTGTAGGAAACGTATCCCTGAGACGGTGCGTGTGCGGTGAAGTCACGGACCGCATGGCGGCGGTTCAAACGATAGGTAGTATCGTGTGAAAATTGACATCAAACTGGCGATATTTCGAACGGGCGCGCGCCTGAAACTCCGGGCGGGAATCTGAACGACCACAAGACCGCGACATTTGCTTGGGATTGTTCTACCCCGCCCACAGGGGGGTTGACCAAAGACCACTTTCGGTGGGTATCACGGCAGTTGGATTTTCTCGCTTAGCAACGAGATTTATCCTCCACAAGGAGCAGCAACATGAGGCAGAGCGAAAGTCCGTACGTGTATGGACGTGCATACATATGGGTGTGTCGCCCACAATGCACCATGGCATCCTCTTCGTCGTAGAGTAGTCGAGCTTTGAAAATCGGTCCAGGGGGTGTGATATCTCCCGTATCCTACGGTATGGGTTCCGGCCAGCGTTTACCTGGGGGTTCTTGGCCGGGTCCAAGAGCTGCGTGAATATCCTCCTGAGGCAGTGAGCGGCCGCAACCGCCACGGAGGTCTCGGTCTCACGGCCGAGCTCCTTGAGCAGGGTCACGATGCCGTTGGCATTCTCGACGTTCGACAGGACCCCGTACTCGACCTGGTGTGCAGAGAGAGAGAGGGTGTGTTCAGAAAGAGAACCTCGAAGACGCGCGACGAAAAACTAAACCTGGGAGTTCAAAGGGTTGGGAAAATTCGGGCTCAGACAAAGAAGGGTTAGACTAGGTGCTGAGTTAAGAAGCCTGCACTTTATTCCGACATAAGGTTGGTGCTCAGTAAAGGAGCCTGCACTAAGTGAACCTAAATAGTCGATGTCGGGATACCCCGTAAAGAAAGAAACAAACGGACCACAAAAGGGTTTTACAAAGGGGTGCCGCGTGCTGCCGTAGGGCCACGATGGCGGCCGCAAAACGGGCGTAACATCACTCCTCGCGTTCGGCGGCACACCAGTCCGGGCGGGTTTTGGGATAATCAGGCATACACTACACTGCTTCGTGTTGTTGTCAGCTTCCGTTTTGACCTCTGTCCATTACGGCATCTTCTCTTCCCTGTGTGCAGATGGCGCCCGCACTTTAAGAACCTCTAGTTTCGGCCGAGGATGGGGTTCTTATTTTGCTGATGATCCTCTCGTGGGCTACAAATGGCCGCAATATAGGTTTTAGTGTAAGGGTTCTTAACCGGGCTCACAAATGGTGCTCAAGTTCTTAGCTTCTGATTTTTTTTCGAGTCTCAATTTCTCAACTGCTGAGTTCTCAAGTGCGGGCGCTATCTGTACTTGCCGACCTTGACCAAACCTGCAAAAAATAAGCATATGTACCTGGTAGCATTTTTCAAGGCTTTGCTACCCTGGGTCTTTCAGGAAGTGCGAGGTTAGTGAGACGTGACCGATTCTTGTCTGTAACGAACGCCGCCGTCACCCGATCATGTGTAGAATTGAAGGGAGGTGGTGTTGTTCTCTTCACATTAAAAACCGTTCCGATCTCTCTGGCATGTAGTCTGGCCACGAGAAATCAACGGGCTCCCACGTTTGGGCCAGACATCATGCTACATTGTGCAGGCGGCGACTCGCACAGCAGTTGTAGTGTCGCCCTATTTGCAAGTGTTGACATATCAGTGTTCCATACAGCAGTCGATTTTAGATACTAAATAAGAGCGGATACCTCGCGCCTTGTCTACCCTGGCGGGAGGGTATCAAACAACCAGACCAGAGGAAGACTGTGGTACGCGGGGTCTTTGGGGCCAGAGAGTGCGCGCTCGAGACGGCTGAGGTCCAGTGCCGACTATCCATCAAACACCACACGAGTGTTGGAAGACTTCCCATTTTCCATGGAAACCAGCATGGGCACACGCCGACAGCCATCCCTTGCGCGCTGTCGGGCACGCTGCTACTCGGGGAGCCCTGCGATAAAAGCGGCAACTTGATCGCTGGCTGAGCCTCCACGCGATGATGATGGTGTGGACAAAACGTCTCGAGCACGGTCTGGAAAAGAAACCCGTCACGGAAATCGACTTGCCTGACGTAGAACACGTACACGCTCCTTGACCTCCGCCATCTCGTCTCTCTCTGTGGGTTGGGCACGGGGCAGAGCTCCTGCTTCCCAGGCTGGCGGAGGTGGCGGGACTGTCATCTTTTTGAGGGTGTACCCTGAGGAGCAGGCATGAGTACCTTATCTTAGCTTTACAATAGTAATGATGCTCAATCCAGTCGTTTTTCGATCGGAGATTTTTTTTTTCTTTTAATTTTTTGTATCGGAGATCCGAAGCAATGGGCCGATCAACGACCACTCACTGCGTATCGTACCGCTTGGTGCTTGGTGTCATCATGTTTTCTTGCAGCCTGGTCGGTCCGTGTCGTTGTGTTCTCTGTAGGAAGCCCGTTGTTTACAATAAAGAAACGCATATCGCTATACAAGCGCACAATACGCAACACTCGACAGCATCTCGCTCCCTCTACTGCTGCTGTGTTCATACAGGCAGCATCTTGGGGCGGAGGATCGGAGGAAAGCTGGATGTACAACATCCACAACTTTTGTTCGACGGGTCGCGATGAGATAAACTTGCTTGCTCTTGGTTCTTCTCCCGATATCGTATCGAGATCGTATCGCCCGATACGATATCTGGCGACATGCTGCTGTGTAGTCTAAGCCAAGGTACAATACCGTACATGGTCTAGTCTAGACTACAGCAGTAATCTACGGCAGCAATAGTAGTATCGTGTCTACAGGAGGCCGTCAAACAGGTCTAGACTATTTAGACTAGTCTATTCGTCAAAGATGCTATCCGGTCGATTTCAACAAGTAGTACGATGGTTGTGTAGGTACAGTACATGTTCCTCAATTTTTCTTTGCAGACGACTCCATCCATTATACAAATCGGTACAGCCTGATGGTGGAAGGAGCCAACGCCGAGAAAAGGTTAGCACCGTCTCTGCGATACCCGCAAGAAAGTGTCAGCCCGAACGGCAACCGACGCGCCGCCTTCGATCTCCCCCCCCCGGGACCCACACACACTGCTACATGTTAAGGAGTGTGGCTGCTAGCATGAATAGGCACCCGCGAGAATCTAGACTTAGCCTCTTCTCTGCTTCCTCTCCTGTGGAGATGCTGGCTTGTGATGCTTTTGCGAAGCGCCCGCGGGACTGGGACCTTGCAAAGGATAAGCGCCTCGGAGGCCATCGCGATGTTTTGGGTGATTTTTCGTACGTTCACCGTCCCTCGAAAGCTATTTTGTCTGCATCGGCGGTCCATGAAGTGATTTCTGAGGCGGATACCCTCTGCATGGAGCGTCCTGAGTTGCTGGCCTTGTGTAGTGGAACCCGAGATGACAGCATGCTTCCCACGTCTGCTACCACCTCTACTGCATTCATGCTAGCGTACCGGCCGATGTCCGCGGATTTTCCTGTTGTGCTCTCCGATTTGACTCCGCTTGCATCGACTTGGAACGCGTGTGTGCACACAAATTGGGTGTCAGCCGCCCCACCAGCCATCCCTCCATATTTCGAAATCACATGGCACTTATTTTTGGGGAATCGGTCAACCTCAAAGCATTTGAATTGGAAACCTTTCAACAGCGCAAACTCACAACGGTCTTTGCTCGCACTTCGGCACCAGTTGCGGAGGAACGCCGTGCTGCTCTGCGTATCTTTTGGTCGGAAAACCTCGTGTCTCCATTAAACTCGGGCCCTTTTGTGCTAGCTTCTACTGCTGTTTGTGCGTGGCATGGTGTGCTTTTGGACGCTTCTTCTGCTTGGTTGGATCCGCTTCAACCTCGTGTGCACCAAG